CTCGTCACCAGGTGGACACTCGCCAGCACTTTCCAGGGACACTTGGCTGCTGTGTGTCTGCCGCCGCCGTCAGGATTTCATCAGATGACCACAAAGCCATTCAGATCCAATAATGTTAATGACATCGGCATGCAAACACTGGTCTCTCTAAAGCAAGAAATCGAGAGGCTGCAGCTGCTGAAAATACTAGTCCCTTGGCCATCCCCGGCTCCAACACCTGCAGTATCCATCCATGCACAAGCATGCAGAGAGGAAGGTCGAAACTTCTGATCTGCATGCCTTGCTCTAGGGCAGCTGTTGGCAACCTCGACTCTCCAGCTGTTGTGGAACTACAAGCCCCAAAAGACATTGCAAGACTCTTGACAGTCATCGGCATGACTCCTAGAGGCAGCGGAATGATGGTATTTGTAGTTTCACCACAGCTGGAGTCCTGAGATTGCATACCCCTGCTCTAGAGCAAGTGGCTTCGGAAAGGGATGACGCGTGGCATCAGTGTAACAGCCAGGCAGGTGGCATTTTTAGAAGCAGTGGCAGCGTGTGTATTTCGGTTTCCTTTTTAAATGCTGAGATGTATAAAGGTGAAATGCCCGGAGAGCTGGAACAGATGTCACACATCGTATCTGGCGAGTAGAAAAAAGGCAACGCGGTACGTTCTACCAGTGGTGAAAAAATCATCCGAGGTGGTGAATGTCCTTGAACATTAGAGACTTGGTGACTATGCAGAGTGTACCCCGAGTCATCGGAGTCACCCCAACATATCCATCTGATGGGCAGTGATCACCTTGTTACATCATAATGAACTCTCAGTGATCTCCCCAACACTCCAGTATGTGCTTGTTCCTCTATCACCCCTCACCCGGGTACATCGGTGTGCCCAATTCTTTTATCATGCCAAGTCCGTGCTGTGATCCTAATCAATAATCTTCACTCAATACTAGTCACCTTATCACCTGCAGCACCATCACAAATACCCCCCCCATCCCCCGCAGCATGTCAGTCTTTAGTGAATCATGTTCTGATATCAAAGTGTTCCTGCTTGTACCCATCTCACCCCCGGCCTCATCACTCCACCACCTTCCCGCCACCGGGCCCACTCACTGCTTGGCTCTCTCCCCAGCGCTTCCCCTCTCCCACTACGAGGACAACCAGTTCTAGTGTGCAAACCAACGCTGTATCCCCAGCCTTTATTCTTCTTGAACTCTGTCTGCTTATGCTGGTTTACCATCAGTCCCATCACCAGCAGCATGTCAGTCTTTAGTAAATCATGTTCTCATATCAAAGTGTTCCTGTCTCCATCTCATCAACCCTGCTTGTACCCATCTCACCCCCGGCCTCATCACTCCACCACCTTCCCGCCACCGGGCCCACTCACTGCTTGGCTCTCTCCCCAGCGCTTCCCCCCTCCGACTGCGAGGACAACCAGTTCCAGTGTGCAAACCAACGCTGTATCCCCAGCCTGTGGATCTCTTATCTCTGCTGGAAATGTTCTGCTGATCGGAGGCCAGAGCTGCTGAGCGACCCCTTTGGAAGGATGTGTTTGACAGCTTTACGTGTATGTGCAATGATCAGGGTGGCTGGAGATGGGGAAGTGTTGTGGTCCCCCACTTTCATGTGCCTCAGAAAATAGATTGTGAGCTCTTCTATAAAATGATGCATAAGAGCTACTCGTGACCAGATCGGGAGGAGAGTTCCAGTTCTGGAACATAATCGTAATTGAGTGCATGGTGGAGATAATTGTGATGGGACATGCTATGAAGATTACCATAGAAGGGTCTGGCCGAAGTGTCTTCAGCCACCTCAAGATGCAGAAACACATCCCCAAATCTCAAGGGGGTAGGGGGGTTGGTTACCATTGGCCAATCTCATGTCCACCTGGAATTAGCCAGCATTGATTGGGCATGCTATACCTCCTGCCTCCATGGCCATACACACCTGGCGATGGACCACGTGTTGATACTTTATTGGTGGTCCATTCTTGCCTGCATGTCTGGTTGTCCTCTTTCTTCTATGGGCATCTTAACGGCTTATGCACGCAGGTTCCTGACACTGCGCCAGGAACCATTTCAAATGCTAATAGGCACTGTGTGTACAAAGTGTAGAGCTTTGTTACTATGGATGTGGGTGTCCGTGCCGGACACATCCCAAATGGTGCTTTTTGTGGTACTGATAAAGTTGCCTAGTAATTCATGTGCTGCCATTGCCATCAGTAGGTCTTATAATTTGCAGGGACGCATGCAAAAACAGAACGCACATGAACGCATTGCACATGTTAACTAGCACCATTCAAAAACACATGTTACCCCGGCCTCCAACACAGGTGACATAGCCTCGCCGCTTCCACCTGGGATAGCCGGGTGCTCGCAATCCCACAATCTTGCAATGGGCTGGATTGCATTCTTGCAGGATTTCGAGCTCCTAGGTCTGCAGAAAGGCATGGTGACCTTCCAGCATGTCTTTGGAGTGTGAGGAAACCAGAGTACCCGGAGGAACCCACACAAGCACAGGAAGAACATGCAAACTCTTTTTGCAGATGGTGTCCTGACTGGGATTTGAACCGGGGACCCCCAGTGCTGCAAAGGAAAACTGCTAAGCCACTTTACAAATGGCTTTTTAACACCTTCCTGACCAGCTCAGGCATATGCGGTGGCACGAACGCCTCAAATTTGTTACTTAACAGAGGCAGGCGGGGACAGGCTCCTGATCATGTGATCGCTGTAACTGACGGCCACAGTGATCACATGATCAGGAGCCTGTCCCCGCCTGCCTCTGTTAAGTAACTTTTAAAGGGTTGTCAGCAAGGATTTTTCCTTTTTCGCATGGACATATATGCGTCCACTGTTTTGAGCTTAGTGCGCGCTTCCAACACAGTGACCGACCTGTTGCCGACAGCTACCAGTCCCTGTTTACGCTTGGAAGCCGGGGGCCAGGCTTCAGTTTGGTATGGAAGGTCCGCTTTAAGATGTGACATGAACCTTCTATATTTATCGTCTTATTTGTATAATGAATCCTGGTTATAGGTTGCATTCAATTCATTCACTTCTCCTCTGTATAATCTGGTGTTTTTGTTATGCATGCGATGTGTATATTTGTCTGTGTGTAGTCGTGTGTAAACACACACACACACACACACACACACACACACACACACACACACACTATATGGGAATCTCATTATCCATTAATGTTCATATTGCTGGAAATAATGGCAACAAAGCAGCAACAGGCTGTGCATTGTACAATGGAGCTCTGTGTGGTCCACGCTTGTCATTGTATGGGATGAGGGCTGCTGTCATTGAGGACCTGATGTGTTTATTGATCGCCATGTGCGCTCTCTGTTCTGGCATCTGCCTGTTGAGGACGGCTACACCGCCATGCCGTCAGACTTCCAGCCACTTCTCCTCCGCCGTCTATCAGTGTTTATATCGAATGCACTGGATGCAGCCGCTCTTTATGAATGAACGTTACCACTTATAATCCATTGGCTGTGGCTTGGCATCAGATGTAGTCACATGCTACGGGGGTGACCAGTAGGAATGCAGAGAGGGCGCACACACCCCTGACCCTGTGTACAAGAAGGTGTGGCCTGGATTAACCCTTGCAGGTCTTCCTTTGCCCGACTCTACACTCATGCAGTTGTATTGTGTGTTTACTGCATCATGGCTGCTGTTGTGTATATTTATGGTGCAGATCTGGTATATAAACCTTGAATGGTGCAGCTTGTTCCTGCTCCTAGTATGTCGGTCGGTCTGTCTGCTTTGTATAGAGGTAAACACTGCAGTGTCTGCTTCCATGAGGCAATGAATGCGTGCCTTGCTTTGTCATGCTGTCTAGGCTTTGCCGGCTGTCCCACCACGCCTCCCCGTGACACATCTGTCTGTAATGCTGCCACATATGTAACCAAAGACGTATCGGTGTTGTCACTTCCTCCTCGTGATGCTCCAGGCGAGAGTTCGGGCATTTTTAAAGTGTTGACCTTCCCCCTTTTTTAAAAAAAATTCTTTATGTAAATCTCGCAGAGCAGGTTAACAAACAATCCAATATATAGATCAAAGTGTTGACCTTTTATTTTATTTTCATTGTAACAAATATAAATAACCAGATTTATGGTGATGAAATAGTTATTTAAAAAGACACACCGTGTGCTTACGACAAAAACATTTTAGTCGCAAAGGCCAAAATCTCAATCTAACTGCAAAGTTTTATCTCTTTTTTTGAAGTGTTCTTGGGACATTTTAATGTTTGTGCAAAGCTCCTCAATGCAGGGGGAGGGACCCTGTGTATCACAATTCAAAACAAAACAATTTTCTGAGGAGCGCAACTACCTGTAATTTCCGTGGGTGACACAATGTGCTGAACGATGGATGGGCCGGAGTGTTGGACCGGAGTGAGAGAACAAGGTGTCAGCCGCAGCGGCTCAGCCTGGCCAGCTGAGTTTGTGATGTTGGCTGACACTTTGTTCTCCCACTCCGGTCCGACAGCCACTCTCTCCCCACCTGCCAGCTTTGAACACCTGATCAGACAGACCCTGGAGAGAATCCTGTGAGAGACAGCAGGGCACGGATGCTCACATCCCAACTGTAAGTCACCATTTGTTCCATCTCACAGGGCAAGCCAGATTATGGCTGTCCGCATTCCCAATTGACATGTATTTTCCCTAGCTATGTGTGCCCATCCATCGTTCAGCACATTGGGGTCACCCACGGAAATTACAGGTAGTTGCGCTCCTCAGAAAATTGTTT